TATATATATATATATATATAAAATAAAATAAAAAGTAGGCCTAATATGTATCTAGAAATAGTATTTGCTTTCTGTTTTAAGTCATGTGTTCGCCTCTGTTGCCTTGAGATCGCTCATCTGGGTTATACAGCATGTATATATATTCTCTTGAAGCTAAATGATAAAGCAGTGTAGAGCTGGTACTTGTGTTGTGTTGATATAATGTTGCTCAGCTCTGGACACACGACGCAGTCTACTAGAACAACACTCAGAACTGCCGCAGCTGACCCACAGTTGTCCGTAGAGGATGCGAAGCCTTCTATATTGACATGTAATAAAGTCATAAACACAGAATGCGTCAATAATGAAGTTTGAGTTACCATCTCCAGCGCGTGTTTCCGTGCGGGCTCCGCCATGCTGCCGCTGCGCGTCCTACTGCGCATGCGCGGCTTTGACTCTGACAACGTCCTACTGCGCATGCGCGGCTCTGACTCCATCTCTGCTTGCATCTCAGCAGGACCTTCCTGGTTAAATAAGTAAATAAATAATTAATAATAAAAAAGTTGGCTTATTTTCTTTTGTTTGTTTAAGAATTGGGGAAACAAGCATAATTCATTGCTGAAATAATTACTTGATGGTTAAAAAGCATATGGTCAGACCCTCCTTTAGCCCACACTGAAACCTAGGGCCCGTCCCCACATACCCACAGCTGCGGTCTGCTCATGTTTGCACGTACAATATCCTGTATTTGTGTTCCAGTGCACATGAAGACCACAAGTGTGATGAAGGGACAGAGGTCAATGCGGTAAAGCAGAAGTTTTTAGAGAGCTTTATTCACATATTTTAATTTTCAGTGCTTTGCACATTAACATAAACGTCTAAATGTCTGTTCATTGGTATGTTTGCGACAGATGGCAGAATGTAATGGTGGTGCGTAAGTGCTAGATGCAAACTCTTTACAAAGTACACATACTCATCTCTGCACCAATCAAATGTGCAACACGTAACACTTTAGTTAGTCTGGTGTTGGTGTGAAAGGTTGGAAATGCCACGCAAATCAATAAAAATGTCCCAAAATTCAAGCAATGAATCGTCCCTGTATGACTTAGTCGCATTACAGAGTTTGTGTTGTATTATTAATACCAATCTATTTTCAAGAGTAGTAGAAGTGATGTTTCTATATCATGTACACTCTGCAATCTCTATGTGATTTGAAGATTTTGTATTTGTTTGACAAGTAATCTTGTATTGCATTGAGATTAACATTTATGAAATTGTAATTGCATTGTAAATACATTTATGACACCTCTCTCTCAAAAAAAAAGGTGCATATGTCATGCATACTTGCACGTATATTTATCTGAATTTAAGAATTTGACAAGATAATACATACACTCATTATGGTTAGGAATGAATCTGTCTTAAAGGGGTCATAGAGATGCTACATGCACTTTTACAAGTTGTTTGAACTGAAATGTGTGTTGGCAGTGTGTGTACACAACCACCCTATAATGATAAAAATCCACACAGTGTTTTTTTTTTAAATCTGGTTAAATGTTTCCCCTTTCTCAAATCGAGCCGATCTCAGATGCCTGTCTGTGTGACATCACACAGACAGGCCCCTCCTATGATAGTTTGATTGACAGTAGCGTTTCAGCACAGACTGGACTGGTGTCTTACCTTAGCTCCGCCCTGAGTGACGTCACACAGACAGGCCCCTCCCACGATAGTTTGATTGACAGTAGTGTTTCAGCACAGACTGGACTGGTGTCTTACTTTAGCTCCGCCCAGAGTGAGCTGTCATCAGTCCGTCGTTGTTTCACCGCCGGAGCACAAGAAAGACTCCTAAGTGATTGAGGTGTTCTGTTGTTGGATGTAATAATGAACATAGCAGTCGTCATTTACTCCCGGTCATATCAACTTGTGGAAAATGGGCATATTTCATCACACATTTAATTATTTATATATGTATTTAAACAAGAATACGTGTATTTATTTATACACACATTTATTTATTTGCGTATTTATTTATTTATACACATTTATTTATTTTTGTATTTATTTGTTTTTAATTTCTGCAGGTTTGATCCTCCATAGAAAATGGGCATCCTATGACCGCTTTAAATGTAAGTGCCGCTGGAAATGATTTTTGGGGGGTTTTCTGTTCTTGAGATACAGTGATTGTACCATTGTCTTTGAGTTACCACTGTGAATTGGTTATTTTCCAGAAATCCTTTGCAGATTCTGACAGTGTCAAAGACAGCAGGGAAACAGAGCTAATGTATAATAATAATAATACAAATAAATTACCAAAATTAACATGGTTTGTGCCAACAATGATTTGAGCTTTGTGTGATAAACGTAGCTGCTGAGAGCATGAGAAATTCAGGATATATTTAGAAACCAGAAATTCTAGGTTTGCACATGGTTTGTTTGATTCATGTTAATATATGTTTACATGCTCCTCATAATGTGATTATAATGAGATTGCAATTAGTCTTTACCTCATGTAAACAAAATACTTCAATCAAATTGATGCAATTAAACTCACAATCCTATGAACATCTTGCTGCGATTAAGTCCTGAGTATTGGGGAAAAAAGGTGCATGTGTAAAAATAGACATATATTTAAATGTTTGACGTTTTTTTTACAAAATGGTGTGATTTACAGATACATCTCCAAGATGTGTGTTAAAGCATATTTCATCTGGACAGCATCTGTTTTGTACAAACATCTGAGGAATAGGATTTAAAACATACATCGTCTAAATTAATTATCTAAGTGTAAAGGTTTTAGAAACATATTGCAAAAGAGAAAACACTAAAAAACACACGCCTCGAAGAAAACACACTCATCAAACGTCTCTGTGATGTTTGTGTGCTATCAGGGTAAATGCTCAGTGTAAAGTCTGAAAACCAGTTGAAAACAATAGTAAGCTCTAGCCACGAGATGGCACTAATGTAATCCAAACTAACACGAGGGAAAGGACTGGCACAAAAGCAGCTGGCTGTTTGTTCCAAAATGTAATATTTTGTTAAAATGTTCTTTTTAGCTTTTCAGTTGAAATGATCTGTGAAGTCTTGTGAAGCGAACATCTGTGTGTTTGTAAGAAAGCAATATACTGGATTTGTTTTTTAGCCAGAAGCGAGAGTTTAAAGTTTAAAAAAAAAGGTCTTAATGCTGGATTAGTTTCAGCTTTAGTCTTCTCCAGATGTTAACTGATGGACTGGAGTGCTGTGATGTTTTTATCAGCTGTTTGGACTCTCATTCTGACGGCACCCATTCACTGCAGAGCATCCATTGCTGAGACACTGATGCAATGCTACATTTCTCCAAACCTGATGAAGAAACAAACTCATCCTAATCTGGGATGATTGGTGTGTTTGATTAGAGTTGGAGCTGAACTAAAGTCACAAAAGTTTCCACCTCCGCAGTCCCAGTGGTTTATTTTACAGACAGTTCAGCATTATGTGATTAATTTGCAAAAGAACACCTTCATCTTATGCCCTCATCTCAGAAAACCAGATCGTTGAAATGGAAACTGGGGATGTTTCCTAGTTCAGAGGTCAGAATATAATTTCAATCTCACTCGTGGGATGAAAATAAATGTGTTTCAGTTAACGAAACTGACTAAAATGGTGCTAGATTTCAGATACTGAGAAAAATGCAACGCCCCAAACTGTGGGAAGATTTTGCAAAGGTGCGAAGAGCTCAACTTCTCAAAGTGAGAGTGCACAAACAGGAAACCGTTTTTCATTTGGCATGCGCCCCAATATTTCCAGCCTTTATTTTGAGATTAGCAACCGAATCGTACACAGGAAGGTGAAGAGAGTGACTATGAATTGAAAAAAACTAAACAAAAGATGGTGAGAAGACACCATAACGGTTAGCTTTTGCACGCTTCAGATAGAGACAGGGAGCTGCAGCCACAGATGTTTACAGTTTAACCACATTTTTTGCAGAAGACACACAAAACACGTACCATGTTCGCGTCGCCGGCTCTTTCTACATGACCTGTGCTAGCATGGATCATATGTGTCATGTGGAGCGATCAGCCCTGCAATGCACAAGTGCTAGATTGCGCTGCATGGTGTTAACAGTCCAAACCTCACGAGTGGAGAGAGACAGACAGAGACAGGCGGGAGCCAGCGTAGAGTAAGTGAGTGTGTTTGCTGCAGGCGCAGACAGAGACACACAGACAACACTAAACACCCTCAGCCCTCTGAAGTGTTGCATCACCAGCACCTGAACCGCAGACCACTCTAGTTTTTACTTTCAGTTTGATGTGTTCAGAAAATGCATGTTAATTAATCAATCAGTATTCCTTTTTTTCCAGTATTTCAGTATTTACTAATTTAGTACATAACAGTGAGAAGTAAGTGTGGCTGTGACAGATAAAATGGCACATTAAGCGTGCATGATGACGCTTAGCACATCAGGTGCTTTGGAAATATAGATTTGGCGGCTAGGTGCAATGTTATACAGTGATGCTTGCAACATTCCGTCATTATTTTCCAGTTATCCAGCTCAATTCAATGCTACCTAACAATGATAATAATAACTTGGTAAAACCATTTGAATTGACCCTTTTCATTCACTGTAGACATGTCAAGTCAAGTCACCTTTATTTGTATAGTGTTTTATACAATGCAGATTGTGTCAGAGCAGCTTTACAGTGTTAAACAGGGAAATGGTGTGTTGATAATGCAAGGGGATGATAGCGAACACTCAATTTTTCAGTTAAAGGCTGTTCATCATTGATTCCGTGATGTCATCGTCCAGCTCAGTTCAGTTCAAATAGTATCTGTGCAATCAAGTCGACAATATTGTCAGAAATTATGTGTCCCCAACTAAGCAAGCCAAAGGCGACAACGGCAAGGAACCAAAACTCCATAGGTGACAGAATGGAGAAAAAACATCCCTCATAACGATGTAACAAGTACATCGGGTGTTATGGGAAGTGTTCCCTGTTGACCTAATTAATGCAGCCTAACCATCCTTTAACGCATTTGTGTGTTATGTGTGAACCAGCTTAATCTAGATTTAAACTGACAGAGTGTGTCTGCCTCCCGAACAATGTTAAGTGGATTGTTCCAGAGTTGATTTTGATATTCTAGGTATTATCAAATGGCCAGAGTTTTAAGAACGCAGCGGACGTGGATGACTATAATGTGATAAGAGCTTGCTCAAGTACTGAGGTGCTAAACCATTCAGGGCTTTATAAGTAATAAGCAAGATTTTAAAATCTATAGGATGTTTAATATGGAGCCAGTGCAGTGTTGACAGAACCGGGCTAATATGGTCATACTTCCTGGTTCTAGTAAGAACTCTAGCTGCTCCATTTTGGACCAGCTGGAGGTTGTTTATTAAGCGTGCAGAACAACCACCCAATAAAGCATTACAATAATCTAACCTTGAGGTCATGAACGCATGGATTAACATTTCTGCATTTGACATTGAGAGAATAGGTCGTAATTTAGATATATTTTTGAGATGAAAAAATGCAGTTTAACAAATGCTAGAAACGTGGGTTTCTAAGGAAAGATTGCTATCAAATAGCACACCTAGGTTCCTAACTGATGACGAGGAATTAACAGAGCAGCCATCAAGTGTTAGAGAGTGTTCTAGGTTATTACATGCAGAGGTTTTAGGTCCTATAATTAACACCTCTGTTATTTCAGAATTTCAAATTGGTATGTTTCGTTGGGCCGCAAGGAAATATAGAGCTGAGTATCATCAGCATAACAGTGAATGCTAACACTGTGTTTCCTGATGATATCTCCCAAGGGTAACATGTAAAGCGTGAAGAGTAACGGCCCTAGTACTGAGCCTTGAGGTACTCCATACTGCACTTGTGATCGATATGATACCTCTTCATTCACTGTTACGAATTGATGCCGGTCATATAAGTACGATTTGAACCATGCTAATGCACTTCCATTAATGCCAACAAAGGTTTCTAGTCTATTCAAAAGAATGTTGTGGTCAATAGAGGTCTAGCATACATGTTGTTGGTTTAGATGATTTAACATGTTTATACAATTCTTCATCTCCTATAGTGGAATTGGGAGATGATGAGGCCCAGGTGATTTCTGATGTACCAGCAAGGATACATCTGTCTCTCCACATCCCCTGCGTACCCCCTTGTCCTATACCCACTTGGCTGCATTGTTACAATTTAATCTCTAATAATATTGATCTTGAAAGAAAATTAGTTCATAAAGTCATTACTGCTGGGCTGTGGGGAAATGTCAACACCTGTTGATGCTTTATTTTTCGTTAATTTAGCCACTGTAAATTCTCAATTCTAAAATTATTTTATTCTAAAAGAGATGAAAAGTGAGCAGATCGAGCAGTTCTTAAGGCTTTTCGGTTACACTTTATTTTAAGGTGTCCTTGTTATAATGTAATTATACATTTAATTACTGAGTAATATTAATTAACTACATGTACTTTCTATATGGTTAGGGTTAGGATTAGGTTTTATCTTAGGGTTACTTGCATGTAATTATGGATGATTAATTGTTATTATAATAGTAAGTACATGTAACATGAGTAGCAAGGACACCTTAAAATAAAGTGTTACCGGCTTTTCTGTAGGAGGAAGTACTTTCCCTCAATGCAATACGAAATACCTCTAGTTTTTTGTTTTCTTCCAGCTGTGCTCCATTTTCTGGGCTGCTCTGTTTAGGGCATGAGTGTGCTCGTTATACCATGGTGTTGGACCGTCTTCTTTAAGTGTAAAGGAGCAACAGTGTCTAAAGTGCTAGAAAAGAGAGAGTCCACAATTTCTGTTACAACATCAAGTTTTCCTTATCTACCGGATATGCTGAGGAATTGAGACAAGTCAGGAAGATAATTCGCAAGCAGTTTTTTGTGTGTGATAGAAGTGAAGGTTCTACCATTTTTTTTTTACAGCTTTAGCTATGTGGAGTGTACACAAACTTGATAATGATCTAAGATATAATCGCTCTGCTGCAGAATTTCAACGCCATTAACATCAATTCCATGTGACAGTATTAAATCTAAAATATGAATACGACAATGAGTAGGTCCTGACACAGGTTATCTAACCCCAATAGAGTTTAGAATGTCAATAAATGCATAATTTGTATTATCAACATGGATATTAAAATCACCAACAATTAAAACTTGCAGCCAGCAATAACGCAGATAGAAAATCAGCAAATTCTTTGATAAAGTCTGTATGGTGCCCTGGTGGCTTGTATACAGTAGCCAGTACAAATTATTAAAACACTTATTACATGAATAAAATTATTAAAACACAAATTACACTTGATAATATTGCATAAAGCACCATTGCTTCAAACTTATTATACTTGAAATCAGACCTCTGAGAAATACTGAAAATATTACTATAAATTGTAGCAACACCTCCCCCTTTACCTTTTGGATGCCGCTTATGTTTATAACAGTAATCTTGGGAGGTAGACTCGTTTAAAATAATGTAATCATCAGGTTTTAGCCAGGTTTCTGTCAAACAGAGCACATCTAAGTTATGATCTGTAATCATATAATTTAAGCACTTTTGAAGAAAGGGATCTAATATTCATTAAGCCAAGCTTTATCATTTGTTTTTCTGTATTATATGTTTTTTTATTTGTTGAACATCAATTAAATTGTTACTCTTAAATTGGTTAGGACGTTTTTTGTATTTGCTAGTTCGGGGAACAGACAGTGTGCAAAAGAAAAAAAAAACGACTTTATACAAAAATTTGTCTCCTCCGCATCACCCTGGTGCCATTTTGGAGAATATCTGCTGGACGTAAAACAATGTATGCTGTTCTGCAGCTCTCAGATTCCATCAAATTAATTTGTCTTCTGAAGATGAACAAAGGTCTTACGGGTTTGAAATGACATGAGGGTGAGTAATTAATTACAGAATTTTCATTTTTGGGTGAACTAACCCTTTAACTGATTTCTGTGACGTGAGGCAGCTAGCAGACGGTCGGTTTAGCCATTCTGTCTGATTCCTGACCTGGGCCCCAGTTAGTCAAGTACAAACTCTAAGAATATGTGCCATATTTCTAGACAGAAGAGCGGCACCACCCCAGGAGGGATGAAGACCATCTCTTTTCAACAGGTCAGGTCTGCCCCAAAAACTCGTCCGAATTGTTTATGAAACCTATGTTATTCTGCGGGCACCACTTAGACATCCAGCCATTGAGTGATGAAAGTCTGCTATGTATCTCATCACTGCGGTAAGCAGGGAGAGGACCAGAGCATATTACAGTATCTGACATCATACTTGCAAGTTTACACACCTCGTTAATGTTACTTTTAGTGATCGCTGACTGATGAAGTCAAATAGAACCAAAAAAAAAAACACACAGAAGCATAACGCCCCTCTCTAGGAAGGTGCAGCCACGTGCTATAAACTGGCCAAAGAGTTGGTTCTGGATGTGGACGAGGGACTGGTGAAGGACAGGAGACCAGATAACCCCAAAAGGAAGCTGGTGGAAGGGCCCATGGATGCATTGACGCATTGACGATCCATGGAGGAGTGGATGGTGGTAGGATCCAGGAAGGAACGGATGGCCAATGAGTTCCCAGAGCAACCCAGCAACCCAGGATAAGGGTGGTCACCCACAGGTGAACTGAGGGAGGGAGGAGCCCACGTGGAAACTCTGCCCAACCGACAGATGTAATGCCGGGAGATGATGAGGCCCAAGTGATTTCTGATGTACCAGCAAGGATACATCTGTCTCTCCACATCCCCTGATTACCAACTTGTCCTCATCCCAGCAGCCCTGGAAAATTTCTAAGAGGAGCTACATCTTTACTAAGTTGGACCTCCAGAGTGCATATACCCTC